CAGGGACATGGGACACTCTGGGGTTCCTCAGGGAGGTGGGACACTTTGGGGTTCCTCAGGGACGTGGGACACTTTGGGGTTCCTCAGGGATGTGGGACACTTTGGGGTTCCTCAGGAGTGTGGGACACTTTGGGGTTCCTCAGGGACATGGGACACTCTGGGGTTCCTCAGGGACATGGGACACTCTGGGGTTCCTCAGGGGTGTGGGAGACTGTGGGATTCCTGAGGGAGGTGGGACACTTTGGGGTTCCTCAGGGATGTGGGACAGTCTGGTGTCTCTCAGGGACATGGGGCACCATCACTGATTGGGACATGGGATGTTCTGGTGGTCCTCAGGGACAGGGGACACTCTGTTGTCCCTCAGGGCCATGGGACACCATCAGTGATTGGGACATGGGATGTTCTGGTGGCCCTCAGGGACAGGGGACACTCTGGTGTCACCAGGGGCATGGGACATTCTGGGGTTCCTCAGGGATATGGGACATTGGTATGGACTGGGACATGGGCTGTTCTGGTGGCCCCAGGGACAGGGGACACTCTGGTGTCCCCAGGGGCACAGGACACAGGACAGGGGCCACCCCCAGTGCCACCCACCTTTGGTGCCTTTGTACTGCACGAGCGGCAGCGAGCGACGCCTGCGCGAGGCCTCCTTGGGACACTGCACCTCTGGGGACAGGGGGACACGGGTCAGGGCCCCACAGTGTCCCCAACACACACCCCAATGTCACAACCCAAAGCTCAGAGTCACCTCCCCCATCCATGAAGTGTCACATCTCTGAGGTGTCACCTCCCGGACCCCTGAGGTGTCATCTCCTGCACCCCTAAGGTGCCACCTCCCGCACCCCCAAGGTGCCACCTGCCATGTCCCCGACCCCCGAGGTGCCACCTCCCTGATCCCTCAAGTGTCACCTCCCTGACCCCCAAGGTGCCACCTCCCACACCCCTGAGGTGCCACTTGCCATGTCCCTGAGGTGTCACCTCCCCGACTCCTGAGGTACCACCTGCCATGTCCCCGAAGTGTCACCTCCCCGATCCCTCAAGTGTCACCTCCCCCACCCCCGAGGTGCCACCTCTCTGATCCATCAAGTGTCACCTCCCCCACCCCCGAGGTGCCACCTCTCTGATCCCTCAAGTGTCACCTCCCCCACCCCCAAGGTGCCACCTTCCCGATCCCTCAAGTGTCACCTCCCCCATCCCTGAGGTGTCACCTCCCCGATCCCTCAAGTGTCACCTTCCCGATCCCTCAAGTGTCACCCCCCCCACCACCCCCGAGGTGCCCCCCCCTGTGTCCCCACAGTGTCCCCCCTGGCTGTCCCCTGTCCCCCCCGTCCCACCTGACCGCGGTGGCGTCGAGATCTTCACGTTGGTGACCAAACTGAGCCCGGCGTCGGCGAAGACCCCGACGTTGTCCCTCCCGCTGCCCGCGGTGCAGCCGATGTCACTCTGCTCCACCGTGTCCCAAACCTGCCACCACCAACAGGGGACACTTGTGACGGCCACGGCCACCAACAGGGGACAGCGGGGATGGCCAGTGCCACCAACAGAGGACAGCCAGGATGGCCCCTGCCACTCCCTGGGGACAGTGGGGACAGGAGGGACAGCAGGGACAGTCACTGCCACCAACAGGGGACAGTGGGGACAGTGGGGACAGGAGGGACAGCAGGGACAGTCACTGCCACCAACAGGGGACAGCCAGGAAGGTCACTGCCACAACCAGGGGACACCCGTGATGGCCAATGCCACCCCCTGGGGACATCTGGGATGGCCAATGCCACCACCAACAGGGGACACCCGTGACGGCCACTGCCACTCCCAGGGGACGAGGGGACAGCAGGGACAGAGGGGACAGCAGGGACAGCGGGGACAGCGGGGACAGCGGGGAGGGTCCTGGGCACCCACCCTGGCCTGGGTGAGCTTGTTCTTCTTGCTGAGCACGAAGACCCCCTTGTCCACGGCCACCAGGCCCACGTGGGCCCGGTGGTCGCCCTCGAGGCGCAGCCTCATGGGGGTCCCCGGCTGGTGCACGCGGTTGTCGGCCTCCGTCGCCCCCTTCACCACCAGCTGCGGGGGGGACACGGGCCAGGGGGGGTCACCTCCGGGTCACGGTCATGGGATGGCCCCAAAAACCCTTCGTGAGACCCCCAGAATGTGCCCCGTGGGGGAACCCCGACCCCAGAGGTGGTGGAGACACAAAACCCCTTCATGAGACCCCCAGAACCTGATCCATGGGGAAAACCCAACCCCAGGGGTGGTGGAGACCCCAAAAAACCTTCATGAGACCCCCAAACCCCTTCATGAGACCCCCAGAACCTGATCCTTGGGGAACCCCAACCCTTTCAGGGTGGTGGAGACCGCAAAAACCCTTCATGAGACCCCCAAAAACCCTCAATGAGACCCCCAGAATGTGCCCTGTGGGGAACCCCGACCTCAGGGGTGTTGAGGACCCCAAAAAACCCTCAAGAGACTCCCAAACCTGCCCCGTGGGGAACCCCAACCCCAGAGGTGGTGGAGACCCCAAAAACTCTTCCCCCAAAAACCAAGCCCTTACAAAGACCCCCCCAAGTCTCTCAAGGACCCCCAAAGCCTTTCCAAAGGTCCTTCAAAGACCACCCAAGCCCTTCCAAAGGCCCCCCAAGCCCCTCAAGTTCTTCGAGGGTCCCTAAGTCCCTCAAGGGCCACCCAAGTGCCTCTAGGATCACCCAAACCCCTTCAAGGTCCCCCCAAACCCCTCCAGGACCACCCAACCCCTTCAAAGTCCCTCAAGCCCCCCAAGGGCCCCTCAAGTTCTTCAAGGGTCTCTAAGTCCCTCAAGGTCCCTCCCCAAACCCCTCAAGCACCACCTCAAGGCCCCCCCAAGATCCCCAAGGTTCTCCCAAGGTCCCCCCCGAGGTCCCCCAAGACCCCCAAGGTCCCTCCCCCACCCCTTTGGGGCCGTGGGGGACACTCACGGTGCCCATGCAGGTGTCCTGGACGTCCACCCAGACGGAGTCGGCCACGATCTCTTCGGGCAGGACGTGGTAATAGGCCACGATGCGGAAGGAGGGGACGAGCTCGGGGGTCACCGGCAGGGTCATGATGACCAGGCTCTGCCCGGCCTCGTGGCGCTGCCGCCCGGTGCGGACGATGCGCCCCTTGCTCATGATCTGGGGCGGGCAAGGAACGCGGGGTTGGTGGTGGCCACCCGGGTGGCAAGTGACCCCTCAGCCCACCCTTGGCCACCATGGGGGTTCAGGACGTCCCGGTCACCCCATCCTGCTGTGCTGGCCCTTGGTGACCACTCCTGGACGTGGTCATCAGTCACCTTGGCCATGGTCGTTGGTCAACTTGGTCATGGTCATTGGTCACTGTGGTCATTGGTGGCCATGGTCATTGGTCACCTTGGTCATGGTCATTGGTCACCTTGGCCATGGCCATTGGTCATGTTGGCCATGGTCATTAGTCACCATGGCTGTGACCACTCGTCACTCTGGTCATGTCTGTTGGTCAACCTGGTCATGGTCATTAATCACCTTGGTCATGGTCATTGGTCATCTTGACCATGGTCATTGGTCACCCTGGCCATGGTCATTGGTCACCCTGGACATGGTCATTGGTCACCTTGGCCGTGGTCCTTCATCACCTTGGCCATGGTCATTGGCCACCCTAGTCATGGTCATTGATCACCATGGTTGTGGTCATTGGTCACCCTGGACATGGTTATTGGTCACCCTAGTCATGGTCATTGATCACCATGTCCGTGGTCATTGATCACCCTAGTCATGGTCATTGATCACCATGGCCATGGTCATTGATCACCCTAGTCATGGTCATTGATCACCATGGTTGTGGTCATTGGTCACCCTGGGCATGGTCATTGGTCACCCTAGCCATGGTCATTCATCACCTTGGCCACGGTCATTTGCCACCCTAGTCATGGTCATTGGTCACCTTGGCCATGGTCATCAGTCAAGCCCCCCCCAGCCGTCCCAACCCCCGAGCTGGGGTGGCACCCACCAGGTAGGTGAAGTACTGGACGGTGTCGCGGACGGCGTTGTTGTTGGTCTTGAGGTGGAAGTGGACGGGCAGGTTCTCCCCGGCCCTCAGCTCCGTGGCCTGCACGGCCAAGTGCAGGAAGTTTCCGGAGCCGGCCTGGCTGCGATAGGCCTGGGCCGTCATCTGCCGCGACGCCTGGCGCTCGGGGGGCAGCCCCTCCTGCACCGTCCGCACCTGGGGGGGACAGGGGACACCCTGTCAGCGGGGAGGGGGCTGCGTGTGGGCGGGGCTCGGCATAGAGGGCTTGGCCTCCGTGGAGGTCTTGGCCAATGGAGAGGTCCTGGCCAATGGAGAGGTCTTGGCCAATGGAGAAGTCTTGGCCAATGGAGAGGTCTTGGCCAAAGAAGAGACCTTGGCCAATGGAGAGGTCCTGGCCAATGGAGAGGTCTTGGCCAAAGAAGAGACCTTGGCCAACGGAGAGGTCTTGGCCAACGGAGACATCTAGGCCTCCATGGAGGTCTAGGCTTCCATAGAGGTCTTGGCCACCACTAGGCCACTGTAGAGGTCTTGGCCACCACGGAGGTGTCACCCTGTCCCCCCCCATCTCAGTGTCCCCACTCACGGTGACGGGGACGCTGTCCTTGTTGGCCGGCATGTTGACCACGAGCCGGGCGGTGCCGTCACGCTGGGTGGACACCAGGCCCTGCTGCCCGTCGGCCTGGACGTTGACACGCGGGGCCGGTGACCCGTCCGGGTTGGTGACGGAGACCTGCGGGGGACACGGGGGACGTCACGGGGGCACGGGGCACTGGGAAGGGGTGGTGGCACTGGGAACACTGGGAAGGGGCAGTGGGGACACTGGGAAGGGGCAGTGGGGAGGGGTGGGTGGCACCGGGACACTGGGAAGGGGCACTGGTACTGGAAAGGGGCATTGGGATCAATGGGAAGGGGCACTGGGAAGGGGTAGGTGGCACTGGGAACACTGGGAAGGGGCATTGGAAGGGGTGGTGGCACTGGGAACACTGGGAAGGAGCACTGGGAACACTGGGAAGGGGCATTGGAAGGGGTGATGGCACTGGGAACACTGGGAAGGGGCATTGGGAAGGGGCGTTGGGAAGGGGCGCTGACACTGGAAAGGGGCATTGGAATCACTGGGAAGGGGCACTGGGAAGGGATGGTGGCACTGGGGACACTGGGAAGGGGCACTGGGAAGGGGTGGTGGCACTGGGAACACTGGGAAGGGGCACTGGGAAGGGGTGGGTGGCACTGGGAACACTGGGAAGGGGCACTGGGGACACTGGGAAGGGGCACTGGGGACACTGGGAAGGGGCACTGGCACTGGGAACACTGGGAAGGGGCCACCCCAGTGACACTGGGACAGCCCAGGGTCCCCAGACTCTCTCCAGGTGACACAGGGATGTGACACAGGGGCAGAGGTTGGGCCCCAAGTCCCCCCCTCCTCCAAAATCCCCCAGTCCCTCCCAGTCTCCATCCCCATCCCGGGGACCCCGCGGGCCCTGGGCCTATGCCAGCGCTGTCCCCAGTGTCCCTGCTGTCCCCACCGCTGTCCCCAATGTCCCCGCTGTTCCCACCGCTGTCCCCAATGCCAGTGCTGTCCCCAATGTCCCCGCTGTCCCCACTGCTGTCCCCAATGCCAGCGTTGTCCCCAGTGTCCCCAGTGCTGTCCCCAATGCCAGCGTTGTCCCCAGTGTCCCCACTGCTGTCCCCAATGCCAGCGTTGTCCCCAGTGTCCCCGCTGTCCCCAGGTGTCCTTACCTGGAGGTCAAAGGGTATGCCCGGTTTGAAGTACTTGGGGGTGTGGGTGAAGTGGATGGTGTAGGGCGACGTCACGATGGGGATGCCACCGCGCTGGGCCTCCACCATGTCACTGCCTGGGGCACCGGGGGCACGGCCGCGTCACCCGGGGACAGGGGTCACTGTCCCCTGCCCAGGGACAGCCCTGGTGGCCCTGGGATGGCCCCAGGCGTCCCCATCCTCCCTGTCCCCAACCCCAGGTGTCCCCAGACCCACCTCACCCGGTGGCAGGGCTCACTGTCCCCCTATCAGGGTGGCCTTGGGATGGCCCCGGGGTGGCCCTGGGTGTCCCCATCCTCACTGTCCCCAACCCCAAGTGTCCCCTGACCCACCTCACCCCATGCCAGGGCTCACTGTCCCCCTATCAGGGACAGCTCTGGTGGCCCTGGGGTGGCCCCAGGTGTCCCCATCCTTCCTGTCCCCAACCCCAGGTGTCCCCATCCTCCCTGTCCCCAACCCCAGGTGCCCCCCCTTGTCCCCGTGTCCCCGCAGACCTGACTCGGTGATGACGGTGACGGACACGTAGAGGGAATGTCCCACCAGCTCCTGCGGGTTGGGGAAGCGCTGCCGCAGAGCGTCCATGGTCAGCACGGCCTCGCCGTCCCCATCGGTCACCTGCGGGGAGGGGACACTCAGGGGACACCCAGGGGACAGCCAGGGGAGAGGGGACAGACAGGGGACAGACAGGGGACAGCACGTCCTCGCCATCCCCGTCTGTCACCTGTGGGGAGGGGGGACTCCCAGGAGACAGTCAGGGGACAGGGGACACCCAGGGGACAGGGGACAGGCAGGGGACAGGGGACACCCAGGGGACAGGGGACACCCAGGGAACAGGCAGGGGATGTGGGACACCCAAGGGACAGGGGACAGCCAGGGGACAGACAGGGGACAGCCAGGGGACAGCCAGGGGACAGGAGTGGGAATGGGGACAGGGGACAGGCAGGGGACAGGGGACAGGCAGGGGACAGGCAGGGGACAGGCAGGGAATAGGCAGGAGACAGGAGTGGGAATGGGGACAGGGGACAGCCAGGGGACAGGGACGGGCATGGCGATGGGAATGGGGACAGGGATGGGGACAGGGATGGCAGAGATCAGTATGGGATGGGGATGGCAGAGCTGAGAATGGGACAGGGATGGGGACAGGGATGGGGACAGGGATGGCAGAGTTCAGTATGGGATGGGGATGGGGACAGGGATGGGGACAGGGATGGCAGAGCTCAGAATGGGACAGAGATGGGAGAGTTGAGAATGGGGCAGGGATGGGGACAGGGACGGGGACAGGGATGGGGACAGGGGTGGGGACAGGGCCGAGGGTCACCGGAATGCGCTTCAGGGACTCGGGGATGCTCCTCCTCTCGTCGTCCACCATGACCCCAAAGAGGGCAAAGGCTGTGCCGTGGAGACGCTTCCCGTACAGGTACCTGGGGACGGGCCAGCGCTGCCACCGCGTGTCCCCCCCAGCCACAGCACCGTCCCAGCGCTGCCACCGCGTGTCCCCCCCAGCCACAGCACCGTCCCAGCGCTGCCACCGCGTGTCCCCCCCAGCCACAGCACCGTCCCAGCGCGCCAAAAACGCGTGTCCCCCCCATCCCCAGCACCGTCCCAAGCGCTGCCACCGCGTGTCCCCCCCAGCCACAGCACCGTCCCAGCGCTGCCACCGCGTGTCCCCCCCAGCCACAGCACCGTCCCCCCGGTCCCCACATCGCCATCGGACAGCGCTGCCACCCCATTGTCCCTGTCCTGCTGTCCCTGTCCCTGTGTCCCCTGTCACCCCATCACACCCTGTCCCCCCACTGTCCCCCATCCTCATCCCACTGTCCCTGTTCCTCCACATCCCCCCGTCCCCGTCACTCCCTGTCACCTCCATCCCCCCACCCTGTGCCCTCCTCACCCTCCACCCCGTCCCTGCGCCACCCCCTCCTCCCCGGGGACAGCAGCAGAGCCGGAAGGTCCCCCCACCCCGTCCCCTCTGCAGGGAGGCTCTGACCCCGGTTTTGGGATCCCCTGTGCCATCCCCTTGGAGGCTCTGACCCCCCCGGAGGGAGGGAGGTTTTGGGGTCCCCACCCCATCCCCTGGGAGGCTCTGACCCCCCCGGGGGGGGGCGGCTTTGGGGTCCCACGCCCACCTGGCCGTGATGGACATCCGGAAATTCTCCTTCCGGTCGATGTAGAGGAACTTCTCCTCTGGCTCCAGCACCACCTCGAAACTGGGCAGCACTGCAGGAGGGGGACACAAAGGGGGTCACCCGATGTCCCCAAACCCCCGGGTGCCCCCCTGGGTGCCCCCCAAGCCCCCCCTTACCGTACTCCTTGACCTCGAACTGGGTGGTGAAAACCTGCTCCGGAGAGTCCTCGAACTTGGCCAGCACCGTCCACGTGCCCAGGCTGGGGGAAGGGGGGGACATGGGGGGTCAGGAGACAATGCCAAGGGTCTGGATGTCCCCCCGGGGAGGTGACACCCACCTGACGACCTCGGGCAGGTTGTGGTTGACAGACAGGATGCCGCTCTTGGTGGGCGAGGACACGGGCACTTGTTTGATGATGACGTTGTCGGGCGTCTGGGGGGGACACGGGCGGGGTCGGGGGGGTGGCACCGGTGGTGGCAGCGTGTCCCCCTGTCCCTGCGCCCCCCGGGTCACCCACCTTGACCTCCACGATGACCGTCTTGGCCACGGGCTCCATGAGGTGGCCGACAGTGAAGAGGCGGCAGAGAACTAGGAGGGGACACGGGGGGGACAAGGTGAGTGGGGACACCAGGAAACCCGGGAATGGGGGCTGGGTGCCAGGAATTGGGGTTGGAGACCCAGGGATGGGGGTTGGAGACCCAGGGATGGGGGCTGGAGATCCAGGGATGGGGGCTGGAGATCCAGGGATGGGGGCTGGAGATCCAGGGATGGGGGCTGGAGATCCAGGGATGGGGGTTGGAGATCCAGGGATGGGGGTTGGAGATCCAGGGATGGGGGCTGGAGATCCAGGAATGGGGGTTGGAAACCCGAGATGGGGGTTGGAAACCCAGGAATGGGGGTTGGACACCAGGAATGGGGGTTGGACACCCAGGGATGGGGGTTGGAGATCCAGGAATGGGGGTTGGAGACCCAGGGATGGGGGTTGGACACCAGGAATGGGGGTTGGAGACCCAGGGATGGGGGTTGGACACCCAGGAATGAGGGTTGGACACCCAGGGATGGGGGTTGGACACCCAGGGATGGGGGTTGGAGACCCAGGAATGGGGGTTGGACACCAGGAATGGGGGTTGGACACCAGGAATGGGGGTTGGACCCCAAAATGGGCCCTGGGTCCCAGCAGGGACATCGTGGGGAGGTCCCCAAATGGGTGCTGGGGTCCTGCCCTGCAAGGTCACAGCAGCACCCCCCCCGCCCCTGAGAAGCCCCGGGGGGGTGACCCAGCCCCCCAAGCTGCCCCCAGCCCCCCAAGGAACCCCCAGCCCCCCAAGGTGCCATAGAGGGGTGATCCAGCCCCCCAAGATGCCCCCAGCCTCCCAAGGAGCCCCGGGGGGGGGTGACCCAACGCTCCAAGGACTCCCCCATCCCCCGAGTAGCCCCGGGGGGGGGGTGACTCAGCCCCCCAAGGTGCCCCCAGTCCCCCAAGGACCCCCCTGCCCCCCGAGGAACCCCGGGGGGGGGGTGACCCATCCCTCTAAGGACGAGAGGGATGCCCCCCGAGGAGCCCCGGGGGGGTGACTCAGCCCCCCAAGGTGCCCCCAGTCCCTCCCCCGCTCCCCTGAGGAGCCCCGGGGGAGTTGACCCATCCCTCTAAGGACCCCCCCCAAGGAGAACCCCCCGCTCCCCGGAGGAGCCACGGGGGGGGGTCCCATCCCTCTAAGGACCCCCCCGCTCCCCTGAGGAGCCCCGAGGGGGGGTAACCCATCCCTCCAAGGACTCCCCCTCCCCCCGAGGAGCCCCGGGGGGGTGACCCATCCCTCCAAGGACTCCCCCTCCCCCCGAGGACCCCCGGGGGGGGGGTCCCAGGGGCGCACCGGTGGAGCCGGGGGTGTAGATGGGTTTGTCGGTCTGCAGGAAGATGTGGCCGCTCTGCAGCGACAGGAGCAGCACCTTCTCCAGCACCGTCTGCCCCACCCGCGCCGTCACCGCCACGAAGCGCTTCCCTGTCCCCGCGGGAAGGGACTTGGCAGAGACCTGCGGGCACGGGGGACACCGCGTGGGACGGGGGACACAGGGATTGGGGACAGCGGGATGGGGGACATGTGTGGGATGGGGGACAGCGCGGGGGATGGAGGACATCACTTGGGACAGGGGACACAGGGACGGGGGACACAGGGACGGGGGACACCGCGTGGGACGGGGGACACAGGGAGAGGGGACGGGGGACACAGGGATTGGGGACAGCGGGATGGGGGACATGTGTGGGATGGGGGACACTGTGGGATGGGGGACACTGTGTGGGATGGGGGACAGCGCGGGAGACAGAGGACATCACTTGGGACAGGGGACACAGGGACGGGGGACACAGGGACGGGGGACACAGGGACGGGGGACACAGGGACGGGGGACACTGTGTGGGATGGGGGACACTGTGTGGGATGGGGGACATCACTTGGGACAGGGGACACAGGGACAGAGGACACTGGGGTGGGGAACACTGGGTGAGATAGGGGACACAGTGTGGGACAGGGGACAGCGCGGGGGACAGAGGACACCGCCTGGGACAAGGGACACAGGGACAGGGGACACCGGGACGGGGGACACTGCGTGGGACAGGGGACACCGGGACGGGGGACACTGCGTGGGACAGGGGACACCGCCTGGGACGGGGGACAGGAGACTGCGCGGGGGACAGGAGACACTGCGTAGGACGGGGGGACAGCGGGACGGGGGACAGTGGGACGGGGGACAGCGGGACGGGGGACACCGCCTGGGACAGAGGACACCGGGATGGGGGACACCGCGTGGGACGGGGGACACTGCGCGGGACGGGGGGCATCGCGTGGGACAGGGGACACCACGGGGGACAGGGGACACCACGGGGGACAGGGGACACCACGGGGGACACCGCGTGGGAGAGGGAACAGAGGGACAGGGGACACGGGACACAGGGACAAGGGACACCAGGACAGGGGACACTGCGTGGGACAGGGGACACAGGGACAAGGGACAAGGGACGGGAGACACTGCGTGGGACAAGGGACAGAGGGAGGGGGGACAACGGGACAGGACAGGGGACACTGGGTGGCACCGGGTGATGCTGGCACCACAGGGTGGCACTGGCACGGGACAGGGGACGCGGGATGGCACCGGCACCACTGGGACAGAAGAGAGGACAGCGGGTGGCACCGGTGACACCGGAACAGGACAGGGGACACCGGATGGTACCGGTGACACAGGAACAGAACAGGGGACAACGGGTGGCACCAGGTGACGTAGGGACAGGACAGGGGCCACCACGTGGCACCGGTGACGCCAGGACAGGACAGGGGACACCGAGTGGCACCGGTGACAGGGGGACAGGACAGGGACCAGCGAGTGGCACCGGTGACACCGGCACAGGACAGGGACCAGCGGACGGGACACGGTCCCCCCACCCCCGTGTCGGTCCCCCCCGCGTCCCACACAGGGTTAACCCCCCACGGGCCACCCCCCCCCGGGGGCGGGAGGGGTCGGTGTCCCGCGGGCGGTGACCCGGGGGGCGGTGACCGGGGGGCGGTGGCCCGGGAGGAGGGGTGGTGGCCGTACCCTGACGGTGGCCGTGGCCATCATGCCCTCGGCGGGGCTCAGGGGCAGCCGCGTCTGGAACAGGGTCTGCCGCTTCTGCGGGAAATCCTGAACCAGCAGCGTGGCCTCGGTGGCCGCCGAGAGCCCCGGGGCCTCCAGGACCACCCGCTCGTCCGTCTCCAGCCGCAGCACGGCCGGTGTCACCAGCGTCACCCTGGGGGGGACACCGAGGGTCACTGGGGGCTGTCACGGAGACCCTACAGCACCCAGAGCCCCCCAAATCCATCCCATAGTCAAAAGCATCACCCTGGGGACACCGGGAGCTGTCACAGAGCCCTCCCAGATCTGTCCCCACAGCACCAACGGGGTCACCAGTGTCACCCTGGGGACACCGAGGGTCACTGGGGGTTGTGACGGAGACCCCACAGCACCCAGAGCCCCCCAGATCTGTCCCCACAGCACCAACGGGGTCACCAGTGTCACCCTGGGGGCACCTTGGGTCACTGGGGGCTGTCACGGACACCCCACAGTGCCCAGAGTCCCCCAGATGCATCCCACAGTCACCCTGGGGACACCAGGAACTGTCACAGAGCCCCCCAGATCTGTCCCCACAGCACCAACGGGGTCACCAGTGTCACCCTGGGGACACTGAGGGTCACTGGGGGTTGTGACGGAGACCCCACAGCACCCAGAGCCCCCCAGATTCATCCCACAGCACCAATGGGGTCACCCTGGGGACACCGAGGGTCACTGGGGGCTGTCACGGAGACCCCACAGCACCCAGAGCCCCCAAATCTGTCCCCACAGCACCAACGGGGTCACCAGCATCACCCTGGGGGCTGTCACGGACACCCCACAGTGCCCAGAGTCCCCCAAATCCATCCCACAGTCACCCTGGGGACACCAGGAACTGTCACTGAGCCCCCCAGATCTGTCCCCACAGCACCAGTGGGGTCACCAGTGTCACCCTGGGGGGGACACCGAGGGTCACTGGGGGCTGTCACAGAGCCCCCACAGCACCCAGAGCCCCCAGATCTGTCCCCACAGCACCAACGGGGTCACCAGTGTCACCCTGGGGGCACCTTGGGTCACTGGGAACTGTCACAGAGATCCCCAAATCCATCCCACAGTCACCAGTGTCACCCTGGGGACACCGGGAGCTGTCACAGAGCCCCCCCAGCACCCAGAGCCCCCCAAATCCATCCCACAGCACCAATGGGGTCACCCTGGGGACACTGTGGGTCACTGGGGGTTTTCATGGAGCCCCCCCTGCACCCAGAGCCCCCCAAATCCATCCCACAGCACCAAGGGGGTTCCCCATTTCACCCCAGTATCTCTCCAGCACCCACCCCTGGGGGGTTCCCATGGTTTGGGGGATCCCATGGGTGGTTGGGGGGGGTCCCATGGGTGGGGGGTCCCATGGGTGGTTGGGGGGGGTCCCACGAGTGGTTAAGGGGGTCTCACAGCTGGGGAGGGTCCCATGGGTGGTTAAGGGGGTCCCACGGCTGGGAGGTCCCATGGGTGGTTGAGGGGGTCCCACAGGTGGTTGGGGGGGGCCCATGGGTGGGGGGGATCCCATGGGTGGTTGAGGGGGTCCCACGGATGGGGAGGATCCCATGGGTGGTTGGGGGGGTCCCATGGGTGGTTAAAGGGGTCCCGTGGGTGGTTAAAGGGGTCCCATGGGAGGTTGGGGGTCCCATGGGTGGTGGTGGGGGTCCCACGGCTGGGGGGGTCCCAAGGGTGGCGGGGGGGTCCCAATAACTCACAGCTGGGCCGGGGTGGGGGTCGCCTGGAGCAGCAGGAGCCCGAGGAGGCCGAGGGGCAGCAACGGAGCCCCCATGGCTGCCGGAGGTGTGAGGGGGGGGGACAGGGACGGTGGCTGGGGGGGGTCCCTTTATGGTGCCCCGGTGGTTAATGGGTAACCCCCCCCTCCCCCCCGGGCCCACCCAAAGGCGAGGGGGGGAGGGGCCGGACACCTGAGTCCTCCCCCAGGTGGGGGCGGGGCTTGGCTGGGCCCTCCTGGACCCCCCCCGCGACCACCCGAGCCCAGGGGGTCCTGCACCCACTGCGGGGGGGCCCCGGACCTTTGGGTGCCCTTGAGAGGGGGGGGCTGGGACCCCCCCGGCCCTTCCCCCCCGCCCTTCCCCGTGGGGTGGGGGAGGGACTGCCCGGACGGTCCTTCCTCATTTCGGGGAAAGGCCCTGGCGAGGGGCCACCGGGGAATTGCGACACCCCGGGGGGGCTCCGGAGGGGGGGACGAGACGGGGAGGGGACGAGGGGACACGAGGGGGGGACACCCGTGACCCTCCCGGCTCGGGGGGTGGGGGTGGGGCAGGACCTGGGTGTGAGGGTCCCCCCCCAGACCCTCATTCCGGGGTCATGGACACCTGATCCCCCCCCCCCGGACCCCTGGGAGAACCTGGATGTGGTGGGTTCCCTCTGGGACCCCCAATGGAACCTGGACACCAGGGTCACATCCTGGTCACTGGGATCCCCCCTGAGACCCTCAATAGAACCTGGACACCAGGGTCATGTCCTGGTCACCTGAGTCCCCCCTGAGACCCTCAATGGAACCTGGACACCAGGGTCACATCCTGGTCACTGGGATCCCCCCTGAGACCCCGAATGGAACCTGGACACCAGGGTCACATCCTGGTCACATGAGTCCCCCCTGAGACCCCCAATGGAACCTGGACACCAGGGTCACGTCCTGGTCACCTGAGTCCCCCCTGAGACCCCCAAAGGAACCTGGACACCAGGGTCACATCCTGGTCACTGGGATCCCCCCTGAGACCCCCAAAGGAACCTGGACACCAGGGTCACATCCTGGTCACTGGGATCCCCCCTGAGACCCCCAACGGGTCCTGGACATCAGGGTCATGTCCTGGTCACTGGGATTCCCCTGAGACCCCCAACGGGTCCCAGACACCAGGGTCACCCCTTGGATGCCTGGTAGGGCTTGGACACCTTGGTACCCCCTGGACATGGATACCTGGATCCCCCCAACCCCCCTGACAGGTCCTGGACACCTGGATCCCCCCTGGACCCCCTGGATCCCTCCTGGACCCCCTGGATCTCCACATCTGGACCTCCTGGATCCCTCACAGACCCCCTGGATCTCCACATCTGGACTCCCTGGATCCCTCATGGACCCCCTGGATCTCCACATCCGGACACCTGGATCCCTCCTGGACCCCCTGAATCCCTCACAGACCCCCTGGATCTCCACATCTGGACCCCCTGGATCCCTCATGGACCCCCTGGATCTCCACATCTGGACACCTGGATCCCTCCTGGACCCCCTGGATCCCTCATGGACCCCCTGGATCTCCACATCTGGACACCTGGATCCCTCACGGACCCCCTGGATCTCCACATCTGGACACCTGGATCCCTCCTGGACCCCCTGGATCCCTCCTGGACCCCCTGGATCTCCACATCCAGACACCCGGACCCTCGTGGGACCCTCCCTGTGGGCAGAGGCCCCAGATGCCCAAACCCCCCCTGTGTCCCGGGTTCCTGGTTCCCCCCTGGGTCCCCCGTTCCCACGGCCCAGGCTGTGCCCACAGGGCCCCCCGTGGTGGCGGCAGCTCCTCCCGGTGCCGGTGGCGGGGCGGGAAGGCCCCCGTGGGCAGGAAGGGCCCCGTCGGCATCCGGGCGCCACATCCACGTTCCCGGAGGCCCCCGCGGCACCCCCGGGGCGCAGGCGCGGCACCTCGGCCTTCCGGCACCCCCGGCCAGCCCCACCAGCACTGCCCACACCGGGGGGTCCCCAGGACCACCGGACCCTCCCCGGCCCCGGGAGCAGTGGGGGAAGGAGCCCCTGGGCCCCCCGGGAGCCCTCGGGGGTGGCGGTGGGGCGACGGCAGCTCCTCGGGGCCTTCTGGGAGCCTCCGGCTCCTCCCCGACGAGGTGGTTCCTGGGGGGGTTCCTCCCGGGCCCCCCTTTGCTGCAGGAGCTGCTGCAGGAGTGGCAGAAGGTTCGTCTCCGTCGGCTCCTCCCCAGAAGTTCATCCCACCAGGATTCACCTCCATCGGGTTCTCCACAGTTCATCCTACCAGGACTCAGCTCCATTGGCTCCTTCCCAGAAGTTCATCCCACCAGGACCCATCTCCATCAGCTCCTTCCCAGAAGTTCATCCCACCAGGACCCATCTCCATCAGCTCCTTCCCAGAAGTTCATCCCACCAGGATTCACCTCCATTGGCTTGTCCACAGTTCATCCCACCAGGACCCATCTCCATTGACTCCTTCCCAGAAGTTCATCCCACCGGGATCCACCTCCATCGGCTCCTCCACAGCTTGTCCCACCAGGACTCAGCTCCACCAGCTCCTTCCCAGAACTGTTTCCACCAGGACCCACCTCCATCGGCTCCTCTCCAGACACGATCCCATCAGGACCTCATTCCTGTCAACATCCCCCCAGAACTGGTCCCACCAGGACCCACCTCCACCAGTCCCTCCCCAGAAGTTCATCCCACTGGGACCCACCTCCATCGTCTCCTCAGAAGTTCATCCCACCAGGGTTCACCTCCATCACCTTCTCCCCAGAAGTTCATCCCACCAGGACCCACCTCCACCAACTCCTGTGTAGAAGTTCATCTCACCAGGATCCGTCTCCTCCTCCCCCAGAAGTTCATCCCACCAGGATTCACCTCCATCATCTCCTTGCCAGAAGTTCATCCCACCAGGATCCGTCTCCTCCTTCCCCAGGAGTTCATCCCACCAGGACCCACCTCCATCGGCTCCTTCTCAGAAGTTCATCCCACTGGGGTTCACCTCCATTGGCTCCCTCCCAGAAGTTCATCCCACCAGGATCCGTCTCCTCCTCCCCCAGGAGTTCATCCCACCAGGACCCACCTCCATCACCTTCTCCCCAGCAGTTCATCCCACCAGGATCTGCCTCCTCCTCCTCCTCCTCCTCCTCCTCCTCCTCCTCCTCCCCCCGGTCGGTCCCTCCCGTGCCCCCCATGGAGGTGTGGCGACAATGCGCCCACTGGCTGGTGGCCGCGCGGGTGCTGCCGGCGGGTCACCGGGCCAGCAGCCCCGGGGGGCAGGTGTGGGACCTGGCGCAGGCGCTGCGGGACGGGGTCCTGCTGTGCCACCTCCTCAACGCCCTCCTGCCCCGCGCCATCCCCCCCAGGGACATCTGCCCCCGGCCCCAGATGTCACAGGTGAGAGCGGGGCACGGGGGGGACACGGGGGGGACGGGGACAGCGGTGGGGACAAAGGCAGGTGAGGGTGGTGGGGATGGGGAGGGGGACAATGGGGATGATGATGATGGTGACGGTGACATTGATGGTGACAGTGATGGGGCTGGTGGGAGTGAAGGTTGTGGCATTGGGGTAACGGGGACAATGGGGATGATGATGATGGTGACGGTGACAGTGATGGTGACAGTGATGGGGCTGGTGGGAGTGAAGGTCGTGGCATTGGGGTGATGGGGACAATGGGGATGATGATGATGGTGATGGTGACAGTGATGGTGACAGTGATGGGGCTGGTGGGGGTGAAGGTCATGGCATTGGGGTGATGGGGACAATGGGGATGGTGATGATGGTGACGGTGACATTGATGGGGCTGGTGGGGGTGAAGGTCATGGCATTGGGGTGATGGGGACAATGGGGATGATGATGATGATGATGGTGACATTGATGGTGACAGTGATGGGGCTGGTGGGAGTGAAGGTCATGGCATTGGGGTGATGGGGACAATGGGGATGATGATGATGGTGGCGGTGACAGTGATGGTGACAGTGATGGTGACAGTGATGGGGCTGGTGGGGGTGGGTGAAGTGTCGGTCGGCATTGGGGTGATGGGGACAATGGGGATGATGATGATGGTGATGGTGACAGTGATGGTGACAGTGATGGGGCTGGTGGGGGTGAAGGTCATGGCATTGGGGTGATGGGGACAATGGGGATGGTGATGATGGTGACGGTGACATTGATGGGGCTGGTGGGGGTGAAGGTCATGGCATTGGGGTGATGGGGACAATGGGGATGGTGATGATGATGATGGTGACAGTGTTGGGGCTGGTGGGAGTGAAGGTCGTGGCATTGGGGTGATGGGGACAATGGGGATGATGATGATGGTGATGGTGACATTGATGGTGACAGTGATGGGGCTGGTGGGGGTGAAGGTCATGGCATTGGGGTAATGGGGACAATGGGGATGGTGATGATGGTGACGGTGACATTGATGGTGACAGTGATGGGGCTGGTGGGGGTGAAGGTCGTGGCATTGGGGTGATGGGGACAATGGGGATGGTGATGATGGTGACGGTGACAGTGATGGTGACAGTGATGGTGACAGTGATGGGGCTGGTGGGGGTGAAGGTCGTGGCATTGGGGTGATGGGGACAATGGGGATGATGATGATGGTGGCGGTGACAGTGATGGTGACAGTGATGGGGCTGGTGGGGGTGAAGGTCATGGCATTGGGGTGATGGGGACAATGGGGATGATGATGATGGTGATGGTGACATTGATGGTGACACGTGATGGGGCTGGTGGGGGTGAAGGTCGTGGCATTTGGGTAACGGGCGGGGACAATGGGATGATGAGAGGTGGACTGTGACAGTGATGGGGCTGGTGGGGGTGAAGGTCGTGGCATTGGGGTAACGGGGACAATGGGGATGATGATGATGGTGACGGTGACAGTGATGGGGCTGGTGGGAGTGAAGGTCATGGCATTGGGGTGATGGGGACAATGGGGATGATGATGATGGTGGCGGTGACAGTGATGGTGACAGTGATGGGGCTGGTGGGGGTGAAGGTCGTGGCATTGGGGTGATGGGGACAATGGGGATGATGATGATGATGATGATGATGGTGACACT